CCAAAATGCTGGGGGCGGCGCTGGTCGGGAGGAAGGGCCTCAGCGGCCCTGACAGCTATTGAGGAACCTCCCTGCTGGAAAGTTGGCTGTGGCTCAAGAAATGGAAACCCAAAATGGCACCTTGGTGTATGGAAGCAAAGACCAAAACCTGCGTAACCCCAGCTGCTTGTTTCTAAGCCACACACAGTTCCAGCGGACTGCATGTGACACAGCCTGAGGTATGGCATGGACGTTGATGTGAATGTTCTGATCGACGCCTTGCTGCAGTGCTAAGTCTTGGAAGGTGTCAGACAATTTGTTCAAAGGTAGAATACGGCTTCACTTGCCCAAAGTTGACCTGTTGACCTTTTTGGTTTTCCTTGTTTGTCTACTGTACTTTTCGTGTTCCCCTTTTATATCCATGTCCTTTGGGCAAGTGAGATACAGCCCGCCATTGAGGGATTGCCCCTGAACTGTGTTCACGCTGCTTTGCGCGTGTGGTTGGCTTTGTTTCGTTATCCTCGGGACTGGTGCCAGGACAACAAGCAGCAAATTAAAAACTGCCAGCGAATTTTCACCCGGGCCCCATGTTTTCACTCACTGCTTTGGCTCGCTTTTGTCGGGTGGGATGAGGACACGATGCCGTGGGTTTTGTACTGGGCATGGAAGCTGGCTCTTGGGTTGTTTGAAGGGGAAACCCAAAAAAGAAGCCAAGGCCCGCAAACCCAAATGGCCATGACCGGTGAAGGTTTCCCGTTAATGCAAACATGTCAGACGTTGCCAGCCCAACCCATGCAGAGTTGGCATTGCCGCTATTCAGACCCGCCACCTGTTTTTCTCATGGAACCTGACTGGGGGTGGGAGCACTTTGGTTGGCGGGAGGGCAATTTCAACCGATCAGGGCGGATGGCTGCCGCTTTCAGATGCCAAGATCGATTCGCCTTGAGCTAAAGTTCCACAAGGATCTCCGCCATACTGTGGATGGTTGCGAAATCCATTTAGGGGTAGTCAAAAGGTCCGTGATACATGGGGTGACCATTAGAGAAACCACCAACAAAGATTCGACTCTCACCACGAAATGAGACAAGCTACCCATGGTCATTGTGGGGCCAGAAATATATGAATCAACCCTTTCGCACCATGGTCGGTTGAAACAACAACGTTTCTTGATATTTGTTGGTTTGGGAATCATCTCATTCCCTTGGGTTTCTGAACGGTGTGAAATGGTCGGTCTTGATTGTGACTCACTGGTTGGGATGGTGGGCCTTCAGTTTGTTTTGTGAGAGCTTCAAGGATGCAAAAGGAACCATGATGGGTTTTCTCAGGGCACCCCCAAACGGAAGCACCACCTTTTGCTGCTTTGCGGCTTTGCTTGAAAGCCACCAATGGTCATAGTTTGCAGGGTGCCGTCTAACGCCGCTTATTTTGTACGCGACAAGTTGCTGCTTTGTTTTCGTTGTTTTGAACCACACCATTTTGCCACTTGCATTATTATAGTCGATATTTGGAGATCTCAGTACAGCCCAAGGGCAAACAACAAGCAGTAGGTACCCGTCCTCCCCGGTAGTTACTCCTCATAGGACATCTGGTGCTGAGGAGATGCTTGATCTCATCTTCGAAGACGTCCTCGAAAAGGAGGGCCGGCCCTTGCACTTCGGAGACCTGGAGCTTTGGCTGCCATTTGCCACCCGCGATAGTGGGGGTGTGCTTCTTTGATTCGGAGAACTCGGTGCCCTCTTCAGCTTGGTTGCAAGGGAAACCGGGTCCCCAATTTTGACACACACGCACACACCCCGTTGCTTTGTAATGTCGATCCCGGATGAATAGGTCTCAATTTATGCCGCCAGTGTTGCGCGTCACTCCCAAGAGGCCACAACGGCAAGTCAATTGGCTTTCCCTTTCGGCATGATCTCCTTCTCTGTTGTTAGGTGCACGACGTGCCAGCCTCGGGTCCGACTCAGGTGGAGACTATCATGAACATGCGGGGCACCAACCCGGCCACTGTCCAGGACAGTCTTCCTCTGCTGTCCAACTGAAAAATGTCAAAAGTACATGTACGGTCTAATTGTTTTCCATCTTGTTTGTCTTTTCAAGGAATCACTCCATTTCCTGAAATCGAATCCGTTGTATTTGAGCCTTTTTGGTTCAGGGAAATGCTCACGACTGGTATGGTACCTTTCGACTGACATGCAACCCCGAGCGTCCCTTCATGGTAGGCCAGGACCCCAACGGCTGCGATAAGAGACCTTTGAGCCTTTGCGCAATTTTGGGGGCGGTTGGACACAAACACGCCGTTCCGCGGAGGGGGGGGGGGCTTTTTCTCGTTTTTAGACGGCTCCAGGATGTCAAGGCCTCCATCCGAGCAGTGAAGATCGCCATGAAGAACGAGCTGCCAGCGGCCGAGAGAGTCATGGTGAGTTCACGTGGGGTATCGCGCAAGGCATGTTTTTCGGGATTCGGAGCCCCGACAAAAAAACGTGCTGCGGTTGGGTTTTGCGTGAAACCATAACCTGAAAAGCGACAGCCTGAAACAAAGCAGACCCATAGTTGCAAGAGTTGCAAGTTTGGAAATGAAGCAGGGGAACCTCAGTATCCACTCTGGGTTGAGCTATGTTTGATTCCAACCCGAGGATCCACTGGATGAGTTTCCCGGGTCCACCCTGTGCACTCGAAACTTCAAGAACCGAAATGCTGCCTCAAAGGAGCCGATGCTCCAGTTCTTCCCATAGCTGAAGTCAGTGAATCCAAAGGATAGAAGCTACATCTGCTTCATTGCTTCAAGCCCCCGAAAATTCTTCAAGACATGGTTTCAAGGTCATGGCTACCTCATGGCTACCTCTGGAACTAGATGAAAGTCCGAGCCTGGATCAGCTTCAGGTCCGAGCTGCGGACCGCCCTCCACAGTCAGTTCGACACCTTGACGCATCAGCTGCGCGACATCACGGAGAACGAGAACGAGTCCAGCTCGGAGTGAGCTCCTTTACCCGCCCCCAAAGGTGAGCAAGCCTTGCGGAGGAATGGAATTGCTCGCGAAATGCGCTGAGCCGTGCGAAAATGGGTTGCTCTGACCCAAGCGGAAAAGGGATTGCACTGCAAGTGAATCGGCTTTTGGGGATCCATTCACTCACTTCCTGAGTTGGACTTTAAACTTCTTGGGTGGACCATTTTAGTGGTAAACAACCAGTCCGGACTTTTTCTGACCAATCCACTGCTTCGGAAGGTGAGTTTCGCACGGCGTTCACATGGACGCGAGCGGTTGAAGTGGAAGGGCATTTTCCAAGCCCCGTGGCACCCGGACGTCCCGCTGATAGGTCACAGGGAGCTGGCAGTGACCCTTGCTGTGCCTTTTGGACGGTTGGATGGTGTGAAACGGGTCTCTTTCATAGGTGTCCCTTTTGGTGGTTTTGCTGGAAAAATAGATGGCCCTGGTTTACCTGGTGGCTTAATCATCTACCAAATCATCTATTTCCCCTAAAAGGACACCTAAGCACACCTATGGTCTCTTTGATTTGATGGATTGATGGATTGATTGGATTGGATGGTGGTTGGAGGGTTTCTTTTTGCAGCAGTCATGCAGAAGACGTTGTCAAGCCCAGCCTGGCAGTCAGGACTCCGGCGGTTCAGACAGCACCTTCAAAGACTTTAGAAGCTTGAATTCCGCAAGAGCAAACTTTGAAGGTGCTGCTGGTGCCTTGAAAACGGGGCCCATCACTCCCACCAGAAAAGGTGGCTGCATAAATTTCCGCGGCCGGACGATTCTGTGTTTACGGCCCGAAGATCGGGCTGCGCGTGGAATGCTGAAATATGTCCAGTTCAGTTGCTGATATGCACAGATCAGCCAGGCTCTTTGAGTGGGTTCGCTTCAAGAAAAAGAGAGTCAGACCTGTCCATGCGCCGAGTATCCCAGACTGGCGACTGCTGGGACTTCTCAGTTTCGATCTCTCCAATTCGGAGACGAAGACGAAGCAGCGAAGGCGGAAGGAGGCTCCCTAAAGACATTGTTTGCCACTTGGAGGAGGGCTCACATGAATTCCTGAAAAGGTATGCAAAAGCGGAACCCTGGTCCCTCCTGTTGGTGAATGGCGATGCAATCGCTGAAGCTTGCCTAAAAAAGAGAATGTATGTTCAATCAGCGGTAAACTTGGGAAAAAATCCGCATTTTTAACTGTGGAACATTTGCATGGGGGAAATTCTTGTCCACTGTTTGAAGATGCCTGGCGGACTTCGCCGAGCGCCCATTGGAGAGCCCTCAGTCTCGCCATCGGCAAAAAGGCGCGATGCCGACTTTGCACAGAGATGGGGTGAGGTTGCTGTGTCAAAAGGTCGAATGGGTGTGGCTCAAAATTAAACAGGAAGGGTTACGCAGGTTTTGGTCCATTTTTCCACTTACCAGGGTTCCATTTTGGTACCGGTTTTTTGAGCCACAGCCGAATTGGGCGGTTTGTCCAAAATGGGACCCCTTGCTTTGTTCATCCTGTGCAAAACGACCCAGTTCCCAATGACGTTGAGACTAGACGAGTTCAGACTGGTTCGGCTGAATTTCTCAGTAGAATGTGCTTCTGCTTTGGGCGTGTGAATTGCCTACCAAAATGGAACTCCAAAAAGAGTGCTGCCACAGCTTCCTCTATGGCAGTCTTAAGAATGTGGGCCAAGTGCGTGCGCAAAGTTTGATGTTTCAAAACAAGGGAACCCAAACAAACAAGTGGCTTCGGTTGTCCTTGTATCCCTTCAAAAGGTGAAAAGGCTAGCAAAAAAGGGCACAGCCCCATTTTGACACCAAGCCCCGAGCGGAATGTTTCGAACCTTTGGCATCTCGGGGGGGGGGGGATCTCGGGGCTCGTTTTTTTGAGCTGAATCTGGGGTTTGCATGATCCCTAAAAGGGCCATTGCACTCGTTCACGGCCATGCACTCTCCAGGTAGTTGGCTGTGTTTGGAGCAACACCCGGAAGACAAGATGCCACTTTCAACAGAAGGGTGTTTTTTTGTTGTTGTTTTCCCCCCCCCCCCCCCACGGGGTAAGGTCATCGCAGATGTCGCGGCAGACGGCCTCATGGTGGAGTTTGCTCAACGAGAGCCAGAGGAGGGGAGAAGCCGACACTGTTTCTTCTTGTGGATTGCTTCATGTGACTGTGGGTCACAACTAAACCAGGATACTTTGAGTCCATGTTTACCCACATGAGGTTCTGTTGGCACCTAGTTCTGACGCACAGCCATGTGTCCTTAGCAGCCAAAGTGATTTGCATGGTCCAGGTCTGGGCAAACGTTGACTTTTGAAGGGGGTCCCAATCAGGAAGCCAGCAAGACTGACCAATGTGAACAGTGGTTGTGCGGAGGCTAGGGGGGACGAACCAATTGCCCGTGTTGAGACTGACTCTTCGGGGCTAACTTGCTGGTGCGATAGGCATAAAATGAGGAAATGAGACCGACAATAACCATCCCCTGTGGCTTCCTTTAAGGGAGTCCCTAGGTTGATTCCCAAAACCCTGGGTCATTCCTTACTGAGCACCAGCAAGTTAACCAGGATGCGGAGGCCCCTTTGAATGAGTGCTTCCAGCTGGATGTTTCAAGCCATTGAATGGGGAGGTGCTTGCCATTGCCAAGAGCCAATTCGTCAAAAAGTCCGTTCAGCGCATTTTCGCGAAACTTAATCGATCCAAGGCACTGCACCTTGTTTGTTATGGTTCACCTTGTTTGTCAAGTTTGTTTGTTACTTGATCACCGATTAATCGAAGCTTGTTTGTTCTGTTAAACTGATTGATCCAAGCACCAATCCATTAAGCTTGATTAATCAAGGCAACTGCTCAAGGTACCCAGCCTCAATGCAGCGTCCTTTGGTCTGCCTCTTGCTTTCGTTGACGCAGTCAACTTGTGGCTGTCAAAGCTTCGTGTCGGGGTGAGCAGCCCCTTGGTTGGTTTGGCCTAGCCGCGGCCATGGCCTAGGAGTTTTGATGGCTTTTTGATCCCCGGGGTCCGATGGTGGTGTCACATGGGTTTCAGGGAACTGACATGATCCAACTTCAAGGGTCAATTGCAGCCGGGTTGCATTGGTCGGGTCCGCCGACTTTGGGCGTAGATCGGTAACAGTGCCCAATGTCAAGCAGCGTCAAATCAAAATTCAAAAAATGCGAACATATATGCAAAGTATGTGACACTGGGTGGATTATGGTTAGCATTGCATCCTTTTTTCAGGGTTCCTCTCGTGAAAAGTATGGCCTTGGCATTGGAGAGATGCAGTTCAGTTGGGCAAGGGGACGAGCATGCATCCGGGGGTTCGCATTTTTGATGGCCAACCAATGACTCACTGTGTTTCATGACTGATTATTATGGGGGCTCTGCTCTCGAAACATGGTCAGGAGAAGCGTGGAACCATCCAGACCACTATCTATTTGGCCTGCCTCTCAGGAGAGCGCAGGGGAACGCAGCCAATGCGTTTGTCCGTTGAGAATCACCGAAGCCCCCACTCCATTTGCATCGGATCTTGTGAGTCCACCTGTGCTGGAGGTTGGTTATGGCTCTTCGGTAACTGGATCTTTGGATTTTAACCTTTTGGTTGAAACAGCTCGGATTTTCCATTGGATGCACAAGAAGTCAAGCTTTTTGCAGAGGGCTCAACAGCAACCAAGGTTCAGAGGCTCCAAATTCCAAACACCACCAAGGCACTGAAACCATCTGAGAGTATCCAAGCCAGGCGTCGCAGGCTCCAGCCCTCGGATGCAAGTGCCACTTCTTGGTTCAGAATGAGCTAACCCCCTTACCAAAACACGAGTAGCCTTGATCTTTCGAAAAGGGATTTTTGGGTTTGGTGGTACTTTTAACTAAACCACTATGTGATCAACTTGTAGACCTGCGAAACAGCCCAGAAAAGAATGGGAACAGCTCTTGCCGCATGGACCGCATGGAGCCCAGCGGTCTGGGATTTTGAAGCGATTGGCACCTTGCCAAGGTGCGATCTCTGGGCTGCATTGCATCCGTGGCCTTGGTGGGCGTGGGCATGAACGGCAAGGAGCCGTTGCCAGGATTGCTTACTCCGTGTCTCCTTTCCTTTTACGGGGCCTTTCAAGTACACGCATGTAGTTCTTTTGATTCTGAATTAATTTGGGTATGCACCAGGGGGCCGTAGGTTTTAGTCCTTGTTTCCATTTACCAGGTTTCCATTTTGGGCACCAATTGTTGACCGACACGCATTTGGGTTTGAAAGTGCCGCACAATTCCATTCTTGGGTCTTTAGGCACTGACGGAAGAACCCTGGAAACAGTAGAGCTCCAGAAATGTGTTTCTCGATTGACTTGGGAAGCCGAAGGACCCTAGGAAACATGGGCGAAGTTTAGTCGTTGGCGAATGTTCCTTTGGGAAACTCTGGTGTTCAGTTCGGAAGGCCTTTGGTACTCTGTTTATGTTGCCTCCTGGTTGTTTCTTGAGGGCCGGCTTTTGTGCACGAAACAAGCGCAATGATCGGGATCCGGATGACTTTGAGGGGACACCTGGTAGGGGTTTCCGTGTTCTTCAGGGAAGATCAGAGAAGTAATACCAACTTGGTGACACAACCTTTCCAATGGCTTCCACCGCACGTATGCGTGGGTTGACTGGAAGCCATCCCTCGAAGGCCCGAATGTTGGGCGCACTGCAGTTGTTGCAGTGTGTGACTTGCGAGCCGACCTGTGCTTTGGTTTGCTTTGCCATGTTGGCTCATGTTTCGTCAAGGTACCAGCGGAGACATGAGAGCCACCAAATGGTGTATTGCTTTTTGAGTTCCCCTTAAACCCACCTGAAAAATGGTACCCTCGAAATCCACATACAAGTTAAATTCAGGCTGCCCCTTTTAAAGGTGAAGCCTAGATACCTCGAAATTGGCTTTAAAAACCTCGAAATACCTCGAATTCAACTTATTCCCGGTCGAACTTTCAATGTGGGGCGTTGGACGTGAGACACACCGGTGCATCCCGTTTCCCCGCGGTGAAAAACAAATCGAGGCGTGACGCGGAGGCGACTAACGAGGGGGAGCAAATGTGCCAAGTGCCAAATTCAGTTCGGAGAAATGGACGGCCCTTGGATAGGCGGCCTGTTCAAGTTGATGTGGATAGAAAGTAGATGGGTTCCACTGGTTTAGATGGGTTTTATTCCATTTGCCAGCACGCCATGTTGTTTTCCTTAAAAGGTCACCTATGCCCTGGACTGTATGACTCAAAGGCCTTCAGATTGTTCTCTTCAGTCACAAGACTTGGTTATCCCAAAATGCCTCGAACCTGAACATCCCAAATGCTTCTGTTGCGGGACCCAGCTTTAAGGATGTTAGTTTTCAGGAGAGTAACCTTTCATGTCCAGGTATTTTCTGCAACTTAGAAGACGTAAGAAGGCACTTGGCAAGAAGTTTAGGACTTGTTGCGTTGGTTTTTGCTTGGGCTGTTGATGAATGGGATTGACGGCGAATGAAATAGGAGCATCAAGAGGATGTAGCCGCACAACCAGATCTGAAGACACAGCCCTATGTCGCCAAGCAAAACAGCGACAGCGACCAACTGAAGCGTTGCGACGATTTCTTGATATCGTGTGTTTGCTCATCATATGCGATGTTTGCACCGTACTGCACCAGAGTCCGAAAGCATATCCTGCATGAAAGAAAAGCTGATGGTTAAGCATTTGTTGTGCAGGTGCAGGGAAGGGGTGTTGAGCCCTTTTGTGGCATCGGAAAAGTGGCGTATGAGGGAGCAGCTGGAATGAAAAAGAGCAAGAGGCTGGTGGGTTGCCCGGCCAGTGCGGACCTGAGAAAACATGGCTGTGGGTCAAAACCAACGGGATCCCATTTTGGGGTAGGTGAATTCACCACCCATTTTAGAACCTATTTTAGTGGTTGGATTGGGATGTTCACTGGGGGCACGATTTGGATTTTGACCCATGGCCACATGCAGGAAGCCCCAAGGGTCGTCCCTTCCTTGGGCCTGCCGTTAGGAGTACAACGGCGACTTCAACTTCACGCTGTCGTTTTCGCAGGCGCCTGGGGACCGCCTGCTGATTTGTGTCGGTTGTTGGGAGTTGGTGCCCCTTTTTTGCGGCTCAAGAGGGAAAACGAGAAGGAAAACCGAAGCCGTGTTGGGCCATAGAGTGCCACATTTGTTGTTGGCACTGTAGGGGCCATAGAGTCCCATATTCACCTGGAGCGACACCCGACTTGATATTGCCATGCGAGTCTATGATATTTTGCGAAGGCCACCATATCTTTTCGATATGCGTTGCTCCCATATTTCTGAGAAATACTCGCCGTCTACACTTAGCCCGACTGCAAGTAATTCATTCAATACAAACTTGGCAGGCCTGCAAGGGATGGAAACCCTGCATTTGCAATTTGCAGCAAACGGGCCAAGTGTTTGGAGATGCAATGTTTTGAAGCACCGAAATTGTGTCCAGCTTAGCACTTGAAGCTTTCGACCATGATCAATTTGGGTGTGGTTCCGTTTTTTTTATATATGTATATACCCTTTTGGGGGGGTTGATCTAAGGGGAAAACAAATGGACACCATTGCCATTTTGGAGGTGCCAGGTCCTACTCTGCGACAAACCCATTTGCACTTGCTTGGTGTCTATTGGGGGAAGTCACCAGCTTTGAAGTTGCCCAGATCATGATGATCTTCTCCCTGCCCGCCGGCGCCATGATCCCTGTCTCGCTGGGGACTCATAGTCACATTCCAAACTTCCATTTGGTTAGGAATGTTTGTTATTCTCCCCTGTTGGTTTTCAAGGGACTGTATCACTACTGTTGTTTTTCCCCTGTTTTGCCAGGGGACTTAAGCAAATGGAGGCAAATGCGATTCGAAACTAGAAGCTGTTAGATCTGTGTTACTTTGTTTGTTTGGCTGTGTTTTATTTTGTTCCTTTTTTGCATGTTCATGTTTGGTGTGTTTGTTTGTTGGCGATAGAAACACCCCAAACCCACCCTCCACTCGCCCTAAACCCACCCTCAATTCCATCATTTGCGGCGGTGTGAAAATATCGACTATAATAATGCAAGTGGCAAAATGGTGTGGTTCAAAACAACAAAAACAAAGGAGCAACTTGTCGCGTACAAAATAAGCGGCGTTAGACGGCACCCTGCAAACTATGACCATTGGTGGCTTTCAAGCAAGCCGCAAAGCAGCAAAAGGTGGTGCTTCCGTTTGGGGGGTGCCCTGAGAAAACCCATCATGGTTCCTTTTGCATCCTTGAAGCTCTCACAAAACAAACTGAAGGCCCACCATCCCAACCAGTGAGTCACAATCAAGACCGACCATTTCACACCGTTCAGAAACCCAAGGGAATGAGATGATTCCCAAACCAACAAATATCAAGAAACGTTGTTGTTTCAACCAACCATGGTGCGAAACGAGGGTTGATTCATATATTTCTGGCCCCAGAATGACCATGGGTAGCTTGTCCCATTTTGTGGTGAGAGTCGAATCTTTGTTGGTGGTTTCCCTAATGGTCACCCCATGTATCACGGACCTTGTCACTACCCCTCCTTATGACAATTCTGGGCAATTAGGGTTTGCTTTGGGCAAAACCCTACAGATGCTCCGTCAAACACGCAACCTGGCCGCTTCTGGCATGACTGCATCAAAGATTTTGGCTGCTCAGAAGAGTATTCAGAAACGTCCCCTTGAAGATGGGATGAAATCCCCCACCCAGAAACATCTCCCACCCCGATGGATAAAGATGATATTTCTCCCCTTGAAAACCAACTGCCATCTCGCCGTTTCGAAGCCGAACCCGGCCGAGCCCAGGTGGTTCCTGGTCAAGGACGCTCCCATCCAGCAGGCACGTGTGACATTGGCCGCATGTGAGACGTGTGACAATTGACTTGCCCATAAGAAACGTAGACTCGGCACATCGCTTCATTCTGTGGTTGACCGGTTCAAATGTCAATTGCAAATTTTGAAGCGTGACACTTTAGGTGCAAAATATCCACAAACGGGCACGTGGCATTGCCTGGCGGTTGTGACTTGTGCCATTGTGGTGTGATGATCTTGTCGCACAAGATATCAGGCTAGGCTGGTCCATGGGGTGGGGTTACTTGTTCTCGGCAGGATAGCGCGAATATAACATGTTGAGCCAATGTGGATAAGCACAGCCACAGGAGCATTTGCAGCAGCGTGCCGTTTTTGAGGTACAAGTTTTACTCGATCTGTTCCGAACTCAACTGCAATCTGGTCCCGGATGGATTCCACTTTTGCCTGTAACCCACTGGCATCTCTAAAAGGGAACCCAAGCAAATCTTTGTCGCCCGTCAGATCCTACCCCTCCCCCATCTTCCCCTTGAGGCTGTTCGCCCCTCAAAATTGTGGGTTTGCCTTTTGTTTCCCATTAAAACCACAAAAAAAGAGGGGGTACCCTTTGAAAAAAAAAGACACGCCCATATGAGTTGCGGTCAGGGGGAGCGCAAGTCGCTGCGGCTCTATGCCTCGCAAGCATGGCAGCTCATCACCAAGAAGGCACCGGGCTGGCAGTGCGGAAGTGAAGCCAATGCTGAAGGTAAGAACAAGAGATTCGGAAAAGCCAGTCCGGGGGTCAGCTCAGATTTTGCGAGGTCACGAGACGGATCATGCACGAGTGGCTAAGCTTGGCTTTGGGTACCCTTGGTGGGGTGGAGCAAGGAGAACCAGGGTCATTTTGTGGGTTTAAAGAAGGACACTCTCAGTTCATTCTTCGAACCCGGGAGCAAATCCATCCACGCTTTTGTGAGCCTTTCCTGTGCCTTCAATGCGGAGGTGGCGGAGGTTCCGCAGCCTGACTCATGTGAAAGTGATTTTGCCCGTGTCTGCCGCAGAAAATGGCCGGGTTTTTCCTCTTCGAGTCCACAAAAACCGGGGTACTCCAGACCTCACCCAGGCTCGAAGCGATTTCTCGAAGTGCGCGCGCGCGCGCGCCAGGCCATCTTCATGGTCGCGGCTTGCACTTCAATGGCAGGGCTTGAGATGGGATGGATGACACTTCCAGAGGCGTTTTGCAGCCAAGAGCCAAAAAGAAGAAGAAACAATACCCCCCATCCCCCCAAAGGAAGGAGATGGCAAAATAGAGCCTAAATGTCCATCCACCATATGGAGGGGTGGGGTGGGGGTGGGAAAAAGACGAGCTCACCGATGAAAGGCCATTGACTTCCCATCCCTAGGTTCAGTTTAGTGATTTGTCCACAGGAAATCCTCTCAGGAGGTGGTTGTTTCGGATGGGGCGAGCTGCCTTTGGGTGATTGATACGAACACTGTGCATTTTTATGCAAAGTGTAAGCTATAGCTTGCCTATGATCGGCTTTTAAACAGTGTCTTTTAAAACAGTGGACCCAGTGTTGGTTGGTGTCAATTGCAATCCAAAGGGAAGCCATTGCCATTTGGCTGGCTGCAAAAGAGGTACCCAAAAGGGGACCCCCAAGAATGGCTGTGGTGTTCCTTGTGGTTTCCCTTAAAAACCACCCAAGAGGGGGGGTTCACAACCTAGGTCCCTCAGTAGTGCCCTTGTCTACCCTTTTTTTTGGGGAGGGTTTCCCCACTAAAATAGACTACAGAAAAAGGGTACCATGTTCTAACCTCTCCACTGGAGCACCTAGCAACACTGACACAGCCACACCCTGCAAGCCCCAGGTGATGTTCAACTTCTGGGAAGCCCTGCTGGGCCGCATCAGCACCACTGCTGGAGGTTTGGTGAAGAGCCTTTGCCTCAGCCGAATGCCGGTCCCCCAAAAACAGACCAACAAGCCCACCAGTGCTGGCAGTACATCTCAGTTCTCCAAAATTGTTTTGTTATTTTCACTTCGGAGTCTCGGACCCAAAGGCTTTTGATCACCTGGGATTTCTGCAATATGAGTAACTGGCAACAGCATTGGTGCTCTGTGGGTTTCAGGAGGAAAGGAGAGCAACCCCAACCCGAACTTCCCCCCACAAACCAGGGATGGGGTCCCCAATTGTCCCATGCCCTCAATCTGTGGCCCATACATGTTTATGACACTCTAAACTGGGTTCCATCTAAACTGGTGAAGGTTGCATCCAAATGGGAGCATGCCGCCCCACCACCTGAAACAGCCCGAAGGCTGGCCAAAGAAAGACCTTCAGCACGGGGATTGCCTTGCAACATTGCCGTAAAGGGCTGTGAAAGAGCGGGAAGAAGAGTCTTCCAACGTCCAACATGCAAAATTGCTGCAGCACAATGAAGGGCCACACTGCACCAGTTCTGAAATGGCGAGAATTGGAGGGTAGCCCAGTGAAGTGAGGTTCACCCAAAACCAATGTAAAAGGCCCCCCGCAGGTTCCAAAAGGATAGCGGACCAGCTTCCAGGCGGCATGACAGGGTTGAGGGCACTCTTTTTGGGGCTGGTTCAAAGGGAAACCAAACGGCAACCATTTGGAGGGGTCCAACCTACAAAAGACACACACACCTATGGATGTGCCTCAACATAGGGAAATGGTTTTAAGGGGAAACCAAGAGGAATACCACCAACCTAGAGAAATCGATCCCTGGTTTTGAGAAACACCGCCATGTGTTTCTGACACCAGATGCTTCAAGGCCAATGGGCGGGTGTCAAGAACTTTCAGAACCAGCCGCTCAGCTCACGAATGTGTACCTGTTTTCCCCCATGACGAAGATTGAGCTGTGCTGTTTATTGGGGGGTGGTTTGTTGGGCTGTTTACTTGGGCCGTTCGCAATTCCCATTTACCCAAAGAGACAAGTAGTCGATTGGGAAAAGCACACATGCACACACTCACCCATTTTTCCCTTTGGCAGCACCTGGTGGGCAGTGGACAGCCTCCTTTGAAACGTTGTTGCCGGGGCAACGTGACCGACTTTTGCAGGCACATCATCATTCACAGGACTTCAAATTCAATCAATTCTTCGGTCCCTGAGTGCCTTTTCCCAGATGTTGCGCTGTCTTCATGGGGGCCCTTCCTAAATGGGTCCGACTCTTTATGCCAGTTCGGCCCTTTCCAGTTGGGTTCTCCACATGTCGCCCTTTTCAGTCTGCTCTCCAGCCTTGGTACCCTTAGACACCCTTGTGATTTTTAGCAGAGCAGAACAAGAAAAAGATCCCCGATTTCATTCTATCCACAACTTGTGTTGCCACCTCACACTTTGCTTCTTTTACCTGCACGCAAGAGAGGGCACCTGAAATTTGCTTCTTTAACATGCTCGCGAACCCTTGATTTTTCTGTCTCCCCGTTTAGTGGGAATTCGGATCACTGAGGCTCACACCCTATTCATCTGGGAGGTTAATAAATCATGGGGCTGAAATGAGAAACACCAACCCATGGTGAATTCAATGGTGAAGGTTTTGAAATTCGGATTGCGGTGCGGGAATTAGTGTAATTTGCCAGGATGCCTGAAATCTTGCTTGAAGATGTCTGTTGGTGTCTGTTGGTGTTTGTGTTCTCTGTGGTGTTTGTGTTCTCTGTTGTGTCTGTGTGTCTCTGTGTGTCTGTGTGTGTGTCTCTGTGTCTGTGTGTCTGTGTTTGTGTCTTGGTGTCTCTGTGTGTGTGTGTGAGTCTATGTGTGTCTCCGTGTGTCACTGTTTGTTTTCTTCTTTTTTATTATTATTATTTTTTTCGGTGTGTCTGTGTGTGTGTGTGCGTGTGTGTTTGTTTGTTTGTTTGTGTGTGTCTGTGTTCGTGCCTGTGCGTGTCTGTGTGTCTCTGTGTGTCTCTGTGTGTCTCTATGCGTGTCTCTGTGCGTGTGTGCGTGTGCGTGTGGGTGTTCGTCTGCGTGCGTGCGTGCGTGCGTGCGTGCGTGCGTGCGTGCGTGCGTGCGTGCGTGCGTGCGTGCGTGCGTGCGTGCGTGCGTGCGTGCGCGTGCGTGCGTGCGTGCGTGCCTGGGTGCGTGGGTGCTTGCGTGCGTGCGTGTGCGTGCGTGCGTGCGCGCGGGCGTGCGCGCGGGCGTGCGGGCGTGCGGGTGTGGGTGTGGGTGTGGGTGTGGGTGTGGGTGTGGGTGTGGGTGTGGGTGTGTGTGGGTGTGTGTGTGTGTGTCTCTGTGTGTTTCTGTGTGTGTGTGTGTTTGTCTCTGTATGTGTTTGCGTCTTCTGAGAGTGGATTTTTGAGGAAGGGGGACGATTAGGAGAGGAGCGGGTTGGGATTCATTCGATCGGTGCTACGCACTCCTGCAATCGATGCCAAACAATGCTCAGCGGACACCGAGTGAATTCTCAGCCGAGGCTTTTTACGTTGGTGTCCCTGCTCGTCTTGGCCTATTCCCTGCACCAAGTCAAGACGCTGGGCGGAGAGCACGTTGAGTAGGAATTTACTTGGGATGGACCTCCAAAGTGGTTGGATTGCCGGTGTTTCCCGGAATCCGGCATGCCAGAGGTCCCCAATTGTCGGAAGCACCCAAAAAGGGGGCACGGATTTTTGAATAAAACGGCCTAGCCGATGTTCAAGGACAATCGAGCTGTTGGCGTTGGCCGTTGGTTCTCGCCACTTCCATTCAATCATCGCGCTGAAAGGCCCGTGTGAACTGGAGAAGCAGTTGCAGGCCCTCATCTACCACAAAGTGTGCCATTTCACCCTGGTGTAGATGCTCCAGCATCTCATGAAAAGGAAGTGTAGCCCTTTGCAAAAGGCCTTTCAACCTGTGCGCATGGGGGTGAGAACCAGCGTTGGAAACCAACAGGTTAGCTTGGCTTCAGGTGGGACATGAGCAAGTCACCAGATATCATGTGTTTCGGAAACTTGGGGTGTCCCCCTTCTCATCCAGTCACCAAACGACAACCAACCAAAAGCCCCGGGTGACTCACAGACTAGACTGAATGGAGTGCCATTCTTTGAGGGAACCCCCTTTCTCGTGGTGTTAAAGGGAAGCCAACAGGAAACCAGCCATTTTCGGGGTACCCCAAAAAAGACAGCACAAAGGTCCATACGCATCGAACTTGGTTGGTTGGTTGGTTTGTTGGTTGGTTGGTTGGCTGGTTGGTTTGTTGGTGGGTTGGTAGGGCTGCAGCGCCCCTCCACCCACTCTAAAATAATCCTAAGCCAATCTTCAAACCCACACTAACCCCTCCCTAAACCAACCCGTGCGAAACAAGCGCAAAACCATCCCGAACAAGCCCGCCTTAAACCAACCCTAACCCGCACCCCCAAACAAACCAAAACACTAAACCATCCCTAAGCCACCCTAAACCTTGGTAAAACCACCCAGGCCACCTAACCACAACCGCCTAAACAAAGCCCCAGAAGCCCGCCACACACCATCACTAAACCTAAGCGCAGCCACCCCCAAACTTGCCCTGAACAAGCCTGGGACCCACCCTGAACCGCCAAAGCCTGGTGATGCTGAAGATGTTGGAGCCGATGCTGGGGGTGTAAAAACAATCAGCATTCTCAGTGTCACCGCAATTTAGAGACAGTTGCACCGTCAAAATATATACGCGCCGGGCTTTGCCAGGGCGAGACTATCGTCAGGGCTAGGCAAAATACACACACACCAGCCTGCAAAGGGGGGCTTTGCATTTGGGAGATTGAGTAGATGCCTGCCTTCTCTCTTGAGCCTCACGTCAGTACATGGGTGTGTGGGAGTGCCCAAAAGAAACGGTAGTGGTAGGGATTCCATCAAACTGGTGAAGGTAGCATCCAAATGGGAGTGCTCAGGGTACCCTTTTTCAGTGGTTTTAAAGGAAGCTAAGGAACCAACTGGATATCCTTGTTTTCTGGGGGGGTGTCCAGGCAAAAGACATGCCCAAATGGGATACCCAATCAATGGGACTGCTCTCAGGAAGCGCTTTCTCAACTACAGCTGCTCGGCCGAAACTCCGGTTGGCACTGGGGCATGCAACCAGGCATGCATACCATACATGGCGTAACATAACATAACATTGCATTACATCGCGTCGCAATGGGACTGCGAGACAATGTCAATCAACTTTGCAATTCCAAGCCTTCACCACTGAATTTGTGCCACTTCGAGGGCTCACAAAAAACTGTCCTTGCGCAGTCCTACCGCTTTCCCAGAATTATTATAGTCATAGAGCTTGAATGCTTCAGGCAGCTTGACGAGGCTCTATGTTGTTCAGTGTTACGTGTGTGTTGTTTACTTTTATTCTCAAGCTTACGATTGGTGTGTCTTGTGTTGGGGCTTTTGTGGCAACAGCCCATGCTCCCCTTTGTTGTTTATCAGCTTCCTAATTGGAGGTTTGGATGGGTGGTCTGGGATTTACACCCATGCTTCTTGTTGATGGCAATTGGGAATCCACCCCGTAACCACCAAAGCACCAAAGCACCAAACCAAACCGCCAATTGGAGGGAAACTCAGTTTACAAACATAGAGCTCACGTGACCAAAACCAATTGGTGCACTCAATGCTTCGCCTTGAATTGTTTATTTCTGTGCATGGGAAAGAGACGCTGTCATTCTTCTCGGTCCTCTTTTGAGATGTATGTTGGAATTGAGGTTCGCTAATCTACAAACCAGAGTCAGACTTGGTTTTGTTTGGCTAAGGGCAGAAGCTGAGGTAGCTCTGTCGGAAGAAACCCGTTTTACTACCAAATGGCTGTGGCATCCATCATCCAGCCAACTTCAGTCCAATGTTTGAGCTCGAGGGGAGGCAATGTATTTCTTGATGTGGACGTAACATCTCGATGATGCTCCATGCTTGATCTAAGTGTGGGATCCATGTCCAGCTGACCTGCAGGCGTCTTGATGTGTCGTGTTTTGTTGGGCGAATGTGTAAACAACTAAACCCTACTCTTCGCAGGGAAGACAAAAGGATGCTCAAACAAAAGTGGTTTGAACATGTTAAAAACTGGTTGAATCGTCCAACCGTTTTTGCCTCCATGTTTGTTTCGCCGTGCTTGTTGTATTCGTCTTACCCGAACCATGCCCGAATGCACCCAGGCTATGCCAAAGCCTGACATATCACTTTCACTCATTCGATTGTGGCCTTCAGGGTGCAGCGTTGCTCATGATTGGCCGCAACTCGAGCTCCACAAATAGATTTCGCTTCCAGGATAAATTGGTTAAACCAAAAACACGCACACAAAGCACACAACGAGAGGCTTGTCAACCCGGGTGAACGTCACCTTCCCCAAAAACCGCCTTTAAAATTTGACGTCAGGTTGTTAATGGTAGACCAGCAACCCAAATGCATTGTCCAAACCAAGCACGGTGTACAGTAAGTGTCTTGGAGCTGCTTGCTGGTTTATTGTGTTCCCTTGTTTTCCCTCTTGCCATGGACGGATGCTCCATGGCTCAGTTGCTTCAGATCTATGATTTACCATGTGAGTCACAATCGAAACCCGGGTAGATGAAGGTTAGTAAGGGGCAGTCCCAGCCAGAAATAGTTGCGGATATCCGCCTTCTTAATTCTGGAAGCATGGTTCTGGGATTACGACCATTTTGCTACCGGGTTTTGGGCAAGTGACTCATGTCAGGCTGGAGAAAGATGCTGCTGCTCACTGGAATCATTCTCAACGTCATGGATGAGCCTTGAACCCACGTAGCGCTGGAGGTACTTTTTTCGCGTGGGGCGTCACAAGATTGTCCCAGACCTCCCTTGTTAGACATTGTGCCCCTTTGAAAGCCAAACAACAAAAAGGGTGGCCTTTCTTCCGATTTTCTTCCTTCCCTTGTTGTTCCTGTGTGCGGGATCTGCCGGGCGGTCATCGGAGGTCTGGGTTGTGGTTGCGTGCTTGAAAGCGTATGGAGTTTGGCTCCGCAATGCATGATGAACGCCACTATTTTTGATGATGTGTCCACAAGCACGTTGTTGTTTGCTTGCTTCCAATCGTTTCCAACATGCGTGGGAAGCTTGCTTGCTTGCTACACTTCCCGTCATGGGCAGCCGATCGATTGAAGTATTTTTAGGTGTTGATCAGGACAATCATAACTTGTGCCTTCGCGCGATTTTAACGATTTCAATGCAAGGCGACACCAGCCAGCTGCTACGCAGCCCATAATAATCCCAACGCAAGCCAAAAAGGGAGTCATTCTTCAAATTTCCACCCCCTCAGTCAGATTCCAGGGCAGGCTGAAAGATTGAGTAACAGATCTCGCCAAATCTACTTTCCCAAGGCCGAACAAAAGTCTCTGAACCCCGCGAAAAATGAACGTGCAGCCTCAAAGGGCGAACGATTTGAGGTGCAATCTTCGCGGGGACGTGCTGGCATTCCATGTTGAAAAATCAGCGGAGTCAATGCGCGGCCAAAGACACGAAAGCAACCGTGAGGAGGCCCAAAGGATCGTTCCTGTTCACAGGAACATTCATATTATGTCGCTTAACGTGGATGGCTTGCCTTTTTGTTAGGACCTCCCGATGGTCGGTTTGAAGGGAAACCAACAGGAAAACAACCCAATTTGCATCGCCTAAAAAAGAGCAGGGAAGAACATTTCTGGTTGCCGCGATTCGCCGAGGGAACTTTGGCCTTGCTCACCACCTACGATGTGGTTCTCACCTCAGACCGGGACGGGTGAAGAAAGGGGAGGCCGTGCCTGGGGTCCCTGCATGATGCCTCGTTGGAGGGAGCTTTTTGGGTTATTTGAAGGGAAAAGCGGAGAACATCGTCCATGCTTGGGGCTTGATTTTTGGAGGCGAACCCTATTTAAGACCCTCCAACTGTAGTATTGACCCGGAGCCCAGTACATTGCGCTGGTTGAAGCTTCCTGTTGGGGCTTATGCTTCGAAAGGGGTACCAGATCAAACTCGGAAGTCGAAGTGACAGAAGTTTCTTTCTTGGGGGTCTGCCTTTCTTTGGGGGGGGGTGGGCAAGCTCTTTGTTTTCCTGCAAAAAGGGGGTTCAGTTGGCAGCGATCAGGTGCCTTATGAATGCATTGCCAGACTTGGGTTCCTTTGGCTTTCCCTGAATTACCCAGGCAAACAACTCTTGCAGGATGCCTCAGTCTTGGCTTCTGAATGTATAGCTTTGGCTTCTTGAATGCTGCACTGCCAAGTTTCCTAGTGGCCCTGTTCTGTTTATTGAGAAGATGGGCTGAGGTTTGTTGTTTTCCCATAGAATTTCATATCGTCAGACTAGGTCTAAGACGCCCAGTGCCTCCTCGCAACATCCCAGCAAGTAAACAAACAGCTCGACCAGGTTGCCGGCCGAGCCCTGGGAAATGGGAGGGGGGGCTTTACAACTGGCGGGATGATGTTAGGGGAGAGAGAAGGAAGCATGAAGATGATGTGTGATAGCCACTCAAGCAACCTTTGGGCTTTCTGCCCATCCCCAAATCGCCACTCATCCTTGGGCAACATCACACGTTCATACATTCTGATTGCAGAATCGTGGAGCACGCTCAAGCCAGTCTGTGCGAAGCCAAGACCCTGCCGATATTCATGTCCGGTTTGCCGTTGAGCTGTTTTCCTTCAAACCGGGGCTGTTCCCTTCAATCCAGGATCAAGAAGAAGAAAAACAAGAAGAAAACCACAGGATCCTTCAGACGGTTCCCGTCAATGGGCTCACAAAGCCGCTAGAGGCCTTCCGCACCCCAATATGGTCAATTGAACCGTCCCAAAGTCGCCATGGCGAGGCCATGGCAACTTGAAGAGTCAGTCCAGCCCAAGGAAAAGGCGAGCGAATTTTCCCCATGTGCCTTGCAACTTTCCCACAAAACGTCTCGCTTGCTGTTTTTTTTTCTTCTTTTTCCGCTGGGGCTTACCTTCTTTGCTGGCTTCCAGGTCAGAAATCAGTACTTCTACCTGGGAGAGACTGTGTTGGATGAGATTCCAGCGGCTGCCAACTTCGCCGCTCGGCTGGAGTCACAGGATGTCCCCAGCATGAAAACGCCTGGGGCACACATATGATGTTGGGTATTAGGGGTACCCGTTTGCGTCCAACCAGGTTTGTGAGGGATTCAATTTCGGTTTAAACAAAAAGTAGATTAGAGTATGGTTTGCTGGGCGGGTGCAAAGGGCCCCCTTGTTGGCCAATGGTTTGGGTCCAACAGGAAGTTGTTCGGCTCAGAATTGGCTGAAATACTGTGCATGGACGACATCCTGCACCACCTAAGAAGCCCTGGAATGATGATTCGCCTGTACCGACAAACCATTCGTCCGCAGTGTTTCGAAGTGGTGCGAAATGGATTTGGTCCATCCACAAGCAGCACCTGGCTGGTAGCTGGTTGCCTTCCGATCCCAGGGGCCAGCAGAGGGTCATGAGGACTTGGCCCCTCCGATCGAAGAGCTCAAGACTTGGCACCTACCCAGCCAAGAGGACCAAGAGAGCCACGTTCCTCAGGAAAAGCTCAAGCCTTCCTGGAGAGTTGCTTTGTTTTTGTTTGGGGGGTCCCTTCCTAAAGAGGTACGTCCTTGCAAGCCTCAAACTTCCAATCCCGGGAGCAGGCAATTCAGGCTTGGGAGAGCTGCTACAGTACCTGAGCAAGGGATCAAGCGTGGCGACCCGATGTTTTGTTTCTTTTGTTCTATTCCGAACAGCGATTTGACAGGGGAGGGCGAGGCGGGATTTTGACTCCGAGTCACTTCATATTGGTTTTGTTTTACGCATCATGTTGGCAAGTTGGTACTGGTTCTCTTCCATAGGTGTCCTTGTTGGTTGATTTGGTCGAAAAATAGAGGGCCCTGGTTTACCTGGGGGTTTAACCAACTACCAAACTACCAGGGCCATCCATTTAAAAGGACGCCTATGGTCTCTTCCTTCTCCAGGGGCCAATCTTTCCTACGTGACTGTCCCAGCAACCCTGGGAGTGCAGGGGTTCTCAGGGTGCCTTGAGCACAACAGTCCAACAAGTCACCAGACACAAAAGGGACATGGGTGTATAATATGTATACACACATATGTATTCTGTGTGTATACCGTGTATATATATATATATATATACATATAGATATATGTATATTAAATATACACATATATTTATTCATGCACACCCTTTGTATCGCTACTCAGTGGCTGCAAGCAAAATTGTCTTGAGTTCCGGCCGTGGCTTTGGAGGCAACATGGACGCCCAACTCAGAGGTCCACGAAGCCTTTTGGAGGGTTCCACTCGGTTTGTCTGCAAAAGGCAAGGTGCTTCTTTCCTGAGGTTCCCTTAAGGATGTTTTTGGTTTTTCCCCTGTGCGCAAGATCCAACTTATGTTTGCAGTTCCACAACCTCTCCTTGTACAACATCTTGCGTTCTCATATCAGCCGTTCCTTGTGTTCAAAGGTTCCGTACTAGCGGAGAGTGATGTGCTCTGAGGTGGTGGGAACCTTCATCATTGTGGAGATGGCTGACCAGGCGAATTTGCCCAAGGGATTTCTATTGGAGCTTTCCGAGGGATACCGCGCGGCCTATGGTCCAGCCTAGCCTGCTGATTTTTTTGGAAGCTTCCGGACTTGAACAAGGAACCAACCTCAGGCTTTGGAATGGCAAAATCAGGTTAGCAGAATGTCCGGGTTAACCTGCGAATTGCGGAAGGGATCTGACACTTGCAGGGTATTTGTTTTTGTGGTGGAAATGCCACCCTGAAAGATGGCTGGGTCCGGGAACCCTGCAGATTGTGCGGGAGACACGGATGTGAAGGGCCTGTTCCTTTCGTGAGGGGAAACTGAAGACACCAATCTCGCCTGGAGGGACCATGGTCCTCTTCCAGCGGAGAAACAGGCTTACGTTTCCAAGGGGTTCTGATCAAAGGTCTCATTGGTCTCGAAGGCTTGCCCTCTTCTTTCCCTCGTTAAGTGCAAAGAGGGCTGTAAGGAACTTCAAAAGTGCAACTTGTTACCCTCTCTTCCACTAACATGGCACACCTGACAGGGGGTCTCTTCAAGAGGAAGTTTACTTGCCAGGTCCCCCTCTGACAATTGCTATGTTCGGGCAGGCGGGTTGAGATGCAGCTAAGACAAAAGAGTACAAAGTTCACTTTAGCTAAGATGCTGCAAAGAGTGCACTCTTTGTGGACTCTTTGTGCAAGCTGAGCTGTTTGTTTAGGGCCCCACTTTCAGACTATGCCCAAGTGTTCCCCATGCCAGGCGCCCAAAGGGCCCAAATTGAGATTGCTCCCCGGTGATACCAATAAAAACCCAATATGAAACCAATATGAAATGTGAACATATACCAATATGAAACCCTGGTGTTGGTACTTAATACCATGATATGCCAATTATGAAACCAATATGCAAGATGGCAATATGAAGCCAATATGACGTCATTGTTTCTAGGATGCCAATAAACCGTTGTCGGCAGCAGCTTCAGGGCAACGAGGGCCTCACCTATGGCCTCCTCACCACGGTGAGCAACCTTGGCAGCCCCTTCTCCCGAGCCATCAGCAACCAGGCAGGACCAGGAACCAGCTCGTGGGTTCCGGGATTTTGTTTTCATCCCGTTGGTGGGATGGTGCCCAAAGGGGGCGTGATGGGAGGCTGAGTAGAGTTTTCTGTGGAGCGCATGCATCGCCTCAGACAGAAAACTTCACTGGGGTTTGCTACACATGGACTTTGGTCGAACAAGAGATACGCCACTGAGAATGCTGATTGCGAGTTTGAGGAGAAGGGACAGCCCAATAATTTCCGCAAACACCAGGGGACGACCCAAAATTCCCATGCCGTCTAGGGGAAATGGACATGTTTTGTTTTTCTCCCTGTGGCTCACATAATACGCTTATTAGACAGGGGTCTCTTGTTTGTTGTTGTTTTTCCGCGTGGCTCATACATACATACATATATATATATATAAGTACATGTCCTTATTAGGCAGGTGTCCTTGTGAAAGGATACGGTCGCTTGCTGTGTCACCCATCAGCAGCTAGCGCTTTCCAGAACTCCAATCTTTGGGCAAAGTCTTTGTAGAGATTCCCATAGTCTAATTCGTAAGCGCTCTATTTCAATTGTGATCACTGTAGGGATCAGCTCTACCGGTTTGGCGAACTCCCTGTGGAGATTCCGTGTGTCTATTTCATAAGCACTCCAATTTCAATTATGATGGATCTAGGGATCTAGGAAATCCATGGTGTCAGACCAAACGATACCAACTGGCTACTGGAAGGCGCATGTGCTCGCATCCGCTCGCCAGATTTTTGGTCTCTTCGAGCCCAACTTGTCTGACTCCAAGAACTACAAGCAGCGCGGCTGATGTGTATGCAGAAGGGAGAGATTCCACTACCCCAACGTGCCGCCACCTACGCTGGGTATCTAATATCACTATGTAGCAACTGAGTCAATCACGGAAACTCCAGTCCTTGTGCATGGAACCCCTCTTGTACCCACCACCCATCTTGATCCCCAAAACCCGGACAAAAAAAAACCTGGCGTGCCGGCTTTGGGCAGCGGACCTTCGATTCGAAGCGGCCTGCGGCTTGCTCGGTTCGTGATGGTTTTGTCGCCAGAACCGAAGCCACGTTTATCGAAGGCCCAGGCCGCACGGCACCCTGGAGACGTCGAACAAAACCCGTCTCCGTGGGTTTTGTTGGGGCCGGTGCTGGACGAACCAAGAGGTAAAACACAGGCAAACTGAAGAACATATTCCGGGTTTGAAATATTGGGGCCACCTCTTTATGTTGGTTGACCAAGCCGCGACGTAGGGTTGAGGGTGTGACTCCATCATACGTTAATCAGGCCTAGACATGTGCAGACGTGGATGCAAGCAATGCTGAGCCTTGATGAACAATGAATAATGTTGCATTTGTGTGGAGCGGAGCACCGAAGCATGTTCAATTGTTTCAGCCATGCGAGACGTGATTGTCTCCTAAGATCCAAGCAGGATGGGCATCTCTCGTCAACAACACTTGCGTGCGAGCTGGAAAACTGGAACTTCATTTCGTATGGTATCAGCACATCAGGGCGGCTCCTTGGAGGATACTTATTGTTCCTCTTATTATTTTTTGCCGACGGATACAACACCCCGGACTTGTATTTCCCAATTGATTCATGAGCGTCCCATCTGGGAACCCAAATGGTGCTCTGCTGACTCTCCCAGAAGAGGCTTCATTTCACAGCGAGAGGATTCGGACTGTTCCCTCCCACGCGCCCGAGGGAAGATACCATGGAATTCCGGAACACCGTGGCCCTCTCGCTACTTGGAGAGAGACGTTGAGCCGCATGGATCAATGCCAAATTTGGAGTCGTGTGGTGCCCGTTCGATGGTATTCGATGATGTAACGATCCAAGAAAGAGCTTTCTGCGTGCTAGATGGGGAAATCCTACTGCCATCCTTCCATTCAAGTGATTGTGGTCAATTTCTGCCAATGTTGTCTCCTTTTGATGGAGGTAGGATGGTCTTGTCTCCCTTGAGTTGACGCGCACACACACACACACACACACACACACACCCACGCACACACACACACACACCAACCAACCAACCCAACCCAACCCAACCCAACCCAACCCAACCCAACCCAACCCAACCCAACCCAACCCAACCCAACCCAACCCAACCCAACACAACACAACACAACACAACACAACACAACACAACACAACACAACACAACAACACAACACAACACAACACAACACAACACAACACAACACAACACAACACAACACAACACAACACAACACAACACAACACAACACAACACAACACAACACAACACAACACAACACACACACACACACAACACACACACACACACACACACAACACACACACACACACAACACACAACACACAACACACACCACACACCACACACCACACACACACACAACCACCACACACACACCACCACACACCACACACCACACACCACACACCACACACCACACACCACGCACCACGCACCACGCACCACGCACCACGCACCACGCACCACGCACCACGCACCACGCACCACGCACCACGCACCACGCACCACGCACCACACACCACACACCACACACCACACACCACACACCACACCACACCACACCACACACACACACAGCATTTTTGAGCTGCATGCATGCTTGGATGTGTTCACTCTTGCACACCAGCTGAACCGGTGGATTTATGTGACTTTGGGGGTCCGAGCCGTTGGAGCTGCCTTGAGTCTTTCGTCGCTGGTTCCGGTGAGACCACCACCTTTTGTCACCAAACTGTCCAGGGTAAACATGCAGTATGTACGTTGGCTGCACTTGTGACCAGTCTAAACCAGCATGATGCTGCCGAGGGATGTCTCGAAACTGGAATCGCCTGCTTTTGTTTCATCTTCCGGATGCAACGGGGAGCAACGTGGACCAGCCATTTGTTAGGGCCCTGGACCAGCAAAGTAAAAGTGTTCGGATGTGGACAGCTTTTTGGCCTTTTCAGAGGACTGTCTTCCAACCCCGCCTGCCAACCTCGACGATTTTTGGAAAGCCTGGAAGAAATGCTTCCAAGTGACGAAGCCAGAGCATCAGCAGATGCTCCCGATGAGGATCAATGGCAGTGCATGTGCAAACTGCCCCCGGGAAGCTTGATTTTCATTTGGCGGATGTCCTCCCGAAAAACCAAAGGGTGGGCATGGGCAAGTTTCAACGGGGGGCATCCCAGATGTTTCAGAGTTTCGAATTCTAAAAGTGCCAATTCCGCAACTTGCTAGAATTTGCGGAATGACCAGATGTTTGGACCACTGTGCCACCTGCTTATTCGGATCTCCACCGATCACCTTAGTCCCTTGCCACAGTCGGTCGGTTCCTGTTTCTTTGGGTCTCAGTTGTTTCTGTTCTCGAGGTTTCGGAGTATGTATTTACACGCCTGACCTGTTTGATCGAGGAAACCACAGGACAAACTACGGTTTCCCGGTGGTTGGGGCTCCCCGGGTTTGCTTTGAGCAGCGCAAAAGTGGTCCTTTGACCTTGACCAAGAAGCACGCATTGGTTGCCTTTGCGCTGGCAACTGGGCACATGAAATACGGGTTTGTTCTTCATGCGTGCCTATGTCCACGGCAACAGCCAATTTAATTTGTGTTGCCTGTCGCACTGCGCTTTGCAACGAATTGACGCTGACATGGGGGTATGGCAATCCTTTCCAATTTGTTCAGTCGACGCAGCACATTCTGTTGACTTTACGCAGGGTTTCTGGCACGTTGCCACTTGGGGTTCCTTTCAGCAAGACCCACCTCGGGTTGAGTCTTTCTGTGTTTCCTGGCCCCACCCTCCAATCCCTCCCTAAGTGGACGCCTGGAGGTTTATGGTGAGCTACGCCTTTTCCTTCGTGACCTTCGGCTTGCTGTTTCTGCTTCCGCGGCAGAAGGCAGAGGCGCAGCGCAGGCGCGTTCGGCGGGCCGGGCAAGGGTGGAAGAAAACTCAAGGTTTCTTGATCCGAAGCCTTATTGGGTTGTCTTAAACGGAAACTCAAGGTGAAGCAATCATTTTGGGGTCCCCCTGTTGAAGCTTGCGAAGGCATTCCTTTGCTTTCCATTCACCCCTTGCCGAGCAGGCCTTTGGCACAACCCAGGACACAAAACATGAATTAAGTTCCCATTCAGGGACGGGACCCCGGCTACCCGCCCGAGGTTGGTCAATGATGTCAATGTAATCCCACACGTTCTCCATGCAGGGCCTTTCCAGATGACTTCCAGCGGTCGAAAACGTGCGTTGTGCATAAGCCGTATGACGTAGTGTGTGTGTGTGTGTGAGGTAGCCTGCAGTATCACGAGCTTAATGAGGGCGTCTTAAAATAGGAGGTTTCTCATTTACATATGGGCGTTCAAAAATTGGAAACCGCGAGAGATCGCTGATTTCCTCCTTTGAAGCGCATGGATCCCCAACGTCAGGAAGCATCCATATTGGTATCAGCTACGGCGTTGCCGCCCTCTCAACCCTAGGACCTGCACCTTCCCATTATGAGCATGCGCCCAAGTGATGCATGAAGCAGGGTCACACGTGCGCGAATATGCTCCTTGAGGGTTCACGGAAAATCACGCGGGGGGGATGTTTCTCAGGGGGTGGGGTGGGTGGTCATGCACCTACTCCCATCCACCAACATGGAACCTGACTGGCGGATCTCGGCTTGGATCATGTCTCTGCAGTTGGAGCCTATGGTTCCACGTTCCATGGACGGGAGGTGAAAGGATTCTGGCCAATGAAAACGAAGCAAACCGAGCGGAAGTCGTAGGCCAGTGCGCCGGAGCTCTTGGGAAGCGATTGGCCAGGAAGCGAGAGTGGTCCCAACATCCGGCCTATGGCTCCTCAGAAAGCATTAGGTGCGCAAATGAGCAAGGTGCAAGCCTATGTTGGTCGTCTGATTTCCTCTTTTTTAGCCCCTTGGTTTCCAGTTTTCATTCAGGTATGAGCCCTCGCCTGGGTCACTTGTTTCATGTCGCAGGCTGAAGGTCGGTTGGAGGGTGACACCTCTTGCAACGGACGCAGTCAGATGTCTGAACCTGGATCTTCGGACATGTTTGTTGGCTCAATGCGATGAGCTTTCTGACTTGCCAGGCACCATTTGTCTGGGCGATTCTGAAACGAGCTCCCCGATTCAGGGATAAAGCGAGGTCCATCAAGGGCCTTTCTATACAGGGTTTGGTGAAATATTCACTGGCCAGTTGCCCGAAGGACACGATTTTCTCACGGACAGATAAGCGAGTGTGCTTGTTTCTTTCTGTGGGCGAGGGAGTTATTACAAATCGCCCGCAGACAAAGTTGAAATCACTAATTGAAGCCTCCAGCCACTTTCCAATGTGTATGAAGTTCTGGTTGGGTGTCGCTAAGTGGAGCCAGACACAGAGATTTAGTTTCGTAGGAATGGCATGAGCCAAAGAACCACAACACGATCATCGGCGGTTTGCGTTCAAGACTTATTGTTCTACGGCTAGGCCTATTGGTAGTGCAATGCCCCAAGCCGTGAGCATGGAGCTTGCATTTGACATGACAGCCTGCCACCATCAACCACCTGTAGAGCATGTTTTTCAGCCTGATCAGAGCGTGCTGCACAATCTTGGACAATGTTGCACGAAGTATCTTTGCACTGACACGCACTTTGGTTGCTCAGGCTACATCACGGTATGTCTTGTGACCTTCGCTCTTTGCTACTCCCTGGTCGCCGGGGACCTAGGCAACCCAACAAACTCAGCGCGGCCGGGGTGGGAAAATGCGGCATTGGCTCAGCTCCGGGGAATGAGAGCTTGGAGCCATGTGCTCGCAGTTCCCAATGCAGTGTTTGAATTTCTGGCAAAAGGACTAATCTTCTTGCACTCTTGAATCCTGTGGGGCAATACTACATATATACCGCTCTCCCTGAGTTCTTGCACTTTATCCTTGTTGGGAAGACCGCTTTAGTGGCATACACAAAGTTTGGCGTGTTTTGCCAGTCTAGTCAGGAAGTGAGATACATACATAGATGAGCAACTGTTTTTGTTTTCCGAAGCCTTCAGTAAAGGCCGGGCGGAAACATCGCTGGGTTGCATACCGAATTTGGTGCAGGCAAGAACACCCCCCAAAACGAAGTAGGGCCTTGACATATTATATGAAGATGGTTGAGATCAACAGATGCGGCGTTGGAACACGAGGTGAATGTGTTCAAACGGGGGCAGGGTTGGAGAACGAGGTGCGAATACCCGGCCACACAATATATACATATATATATATATAGGAATATCAAGCCAAACTAAAAAGCAACTTTCGGGAGTGGTGGGAGGGATGGTTCCCACATTTCCTCTTAAGAACGTTGAGCATGATGTGCACAGACTTGCCGATTGCAGCAAGACCACGCAGGTTCTTCTCTCTTTGACCCTCAAGCTTGAACCATTTGGCAAACTGCCAGACCCAGGGCACACGCAAGAGATTGCCAAGCTAAAAGCAAACCGTGAAGATCTGAACGAGGCCCTTCTGCATCATGTTTTGAAGCTCTTAGAGCCACACAATATGACGCTGAGAGAGAAATCATTCTTTTCAGAGGGCCGCTGTGTTCATCCAAAGGATGATAAGCATTGAGTGGTGTTTGGTCGTTGCTAAACTCCGAGCTGAAGGTGAACTTCATGACGATGATTCCGGAGACCGCATGCTGGGAGCCCCAGGCTTGATGCAAACTTGCGGCTGAAGTGACCGGGGCGGGGCATGTTGGAGTTGGAGAGTTTGTGCGCCAGCTTGCCGCAGGGCCGCCCTCGAAACCTCACCTTTGGGCCTTGATAGGCATGTGCCTATCAAGTTTTTGTTGGCGAGAGGAAACACCACGAACGCGGGTGCCAAAGACGTCGCCGTTCGGGTCCATTTGAGTGACGGGGGGTGGGAGGTGGGGGGTGAATGAATTGCAAGTGAGTAATACCTTGTTCAAACCCGATTGGCTCCACAACGATGCATTCTTGCAGAAGGTCTTTGGCTGCAGGTTAACTAGATGCTTAGCAGATTGAAGATTCTCCTCATTCATGCACTTGGATTTAGGATACAATCAGGGATGTTGTCGCTTGCCAACTCCAAACACCCCAAAGTCCCAAAGTTTGCCTTTCTGGCACCCTGATGTGAATGGAAGGGGGCAGCCCATTGCCCCCCATTGGTCCCAGTGCCCTTATCCCAAAGCGGGGGGGTCATACTGTGGATGGACGAAATCCATTTCGCACCACTTTGAAACCATGGGAAACCAGAATTTAAATTATGGTATTTACAGGAGCATCATCATTCCAGGGTTTCTTAGGTGCATAATTTTGTCCATCCACAGTACCAAGTGCCCCCAGGCCTGGAGATCGTGGGCGGCAGCGGGTGCTGAGATCTCGTGTGAGGCGCCGCTTGCCTTTCGACGGGGCCCAAGCAACAGATGTCGCTGATCTTCAGCGGTTGTTTCGGGCAGTCCAGAAGTCCGTTTCAAGGAAAGCAATTAACTCCAGTCCAAGGCAACTGAGGCAAAAAAAAAGCGGTTTGAAGATTAGGGACTTTGACTATTTTCTGGGGCGTTTGAATGGACGGCCCCGGTTCCCCGGTTTCCCCGTACCCTTGGTTCGATAAATCAAGCCTTGTAGTCTTAGTTCGGTCTGATTTGACAAAATATAAAGGGCTTGAGGCATGGGAGTGAAAGATTTGTGGGAGGTCAGAAGTGCATCCCAGGATTTCTGAGGGTCATGACACCCTAACAGCGAAAAAGGGTCCCGCAAATAGCAAACAACTCAAGGTCTGACAACCTTACTGCTGACTTTCCTTAAGGTTAGAGGGCTCAGCGCAGTCAAATTTGCTGTGCTGGCGTGCGTATTCGATCCAGGGCGGTTTGTTGAGGCACATAGAATTTGACATGCTGTTGTGGTGCGACATGACTCAAATTTGGCAACCTGTGTGCAGTTGCGCAACCCCATGCCAACATAGTATGACAAAGCTTGCACGTAACCCAACCCAACCCCCGTCACCCTGAGAAGCACCTTGTATGTTTCTTTCAGAAATCCACAGGGCGAATGCCTAAACAGGACTCACTTCCTGAGTTCATGAACTTTAAACTTTGTGGGAAGACCATTTTAGTGGTAAATTTAAAGTTTGGACTTTTTTTGACAGCGCACATCAAGTGGTGCAGTCTCTTTGTCACCCAACAGGAATTGACCAGTTTCTTGTTCAATCATGTGAACCGCAGTGTTTGTAGAACCCCTTTTCGGTTTTCCTGCAGCCCCGATTTGTTTAACTTACCCAAAGGCGAAAGGGAAGCCAAAAGGGGATGTGTACTTCAGTCTGTCCAGTCCCTTGGCGCCGCAGGGCCGTTCCCTTGGCGCCACCTGGTGCTGCACGCTCAAGACGTGCGCCCAGACTCTTGGTGTGAAGGACCGAGTTTTCGCGTGGAGCACTTAGTGCCCAAGTTGCTATGGGGCGGGGTACCTGTTGGATTCCATGCATGTTTGGTCATAAGATAACGCGTGTAATCATATCGCACCTTAAAGTACTTCAAGGCGATGTATGACGTGATCGTGCAATGATGCGTGTATGATGCGATATCAATCAAGCAACATAAATAATAATGTTAATAACAATCATGATGCTCATGATCATGATGCTGATGATGTTGATGATGGTGGTGGTGATGATGATGATGATGGTGATGGTGGTGGTGATATTGATAAAACCCAAATTAGTAATGATGCTTATAATAGCATCTAGCGCCTGTTATTAAGATGCTTCAGTTGGGTTGCCTTTCATCCAGGGGGAGTTCCTGATTAACTTGTGCATTGTGAATCGTTAAGGGTTGTTGCTGTTTGGACGCAGAGTTATCCCAAATCAAAGCATCCTTTTCCAAAGATTACGGATGGCGCGTGGCTGTTTCAAGCATAAAGTTGGTGGCACCAGAGGCGTTGCTCGAATGTGAAACTGCTTGGTGCACCTGTCTGGGTTGGTTCACTGTAAAGCCGTGCTTGGACGACCACATCGGCTAATGTCCCAGTAAGGCTTATACGCAGGACACACTTTTGCTTGATGGACAAGAGACACCTCCGAGCGGTCATCCATTGGAGAGCTAAAACTTGGCCCTGGCTACTGGTAGCTGTTTTGAGACTTGTTGTGAAGGTGGCCGGAAGCAACGAAGTATGCTGAGCTCAGACTCACTCGCAGGGAGGTCCATCTTGTCAGCCGCGTTGCCTCTCTTTAAACCACGACGTTAGAGTCAGCCTGGGCTTAAAACTGCCTGCGCTTGGCTTCATTTTGGCCTTGTTTGGGTATGGAAAGCTACCCGCTTTCCAACACGGAGTTGGACGCGGGTCTTGGGATGGCAGCCTTCCCTTCGGTCCACTTCCATGTTTAGAAAGGGGGTAGTCAAGTTGAGCCACTTGCTCAAAACCCGGGTAGATGATCCGGTTAGTAAGGGATGCTCCCAACCACAAATAGCTGCGGATATCCGCCTTCTTAGTTCTTTACATGGTTCTGGGTAGACCCACTTTAATACCGGGTTTTGATTATGACTCAGTTGCAGCACAGCCAAAAAGACCTGCAGGGTGTCAACTCCCTTTTGGGAGGATATCCTTTGCATTGCCAGAAACACACAACTTAGCTCTTCCTTGGACGGTCGCGTTGCGGGGCACTCAATATTTGGATGAGGATCAATTTGGAAGTTGCTTCGATGTGTTCTTGCCCTTCCCCTGCGGTTTGTCCCAGGAAGTGGTACCAGGACGGCTCGCTCAGGACAGGAGTTACAGGAATTCAACGTAGCATGAACCAAATTCAGGCTGACAAGAACGGAATGCCTTGGTATACCCAGGTTTATGGCCCATCGTTTTGAAGGCCATGTTCGTTAATAGGATCCCAGCATTAACAAACCCCTGGCTGATTTTCTGGGGTGTGCTACTTTAAGCGTAGATCCCTCACTTTTCCATTCCCCTTTGATCTCTTCCGCTGCATTGAGAAAGGCCTACTGTAAGCGTTGGCCTGTGCATGCTAATCGGGAGAGATGTGCTCATCACGTCCTGAAAGGGAGCGCGATGTGGCGTCACGCAAATCGCAACACGCGACGTGAGATCCCTTAATAGGGGTCCCAGCGGTAGCATTCAGAGCTGCTAGAGTCATTCCAGCCAGTCCAATGGTTCAGGCCGTGACTTGCATCAATATATACATATATATATATATTACTACCCATCAGTCTTGTCGGTAGCTTCCATGTGTGATGTCACGCTTCATTCCCACATATTGCAAGTGCTCGTAGCGAGCAAGGCAAACCGCTTAGTTTGCCACAATGTTGGGTTTGCTTTCACTAGTCAGAGCATCAATGGTATTGGTTTGCTCTATTAGGGAAAGTGGTTCCACTGAACGATCTGTGCATTGAACCTGTGCGGGGGTTGCAAGAGGCCACGCAGTGACACCCTGGCCCGGAAGGATTCTAATGTTTGGATTCCCATTTTCGAGTCTTCCGGAGTTGGATCCGAGCTTCCCGATCCTGCTGCATTTTGGACATGGGAGGGCCCCCGGTGAAGATCGGCGGATTGGGATCTGCACCTTGTGAAACCCGGTTATTGGAGGAAACCGATGCGACGGGTGCATCTGGTGCATGTTGGGAAGAATTGCCACCGATTCGAAGGGCCGAAAGATAAACCAACTGCCAACTGCTGCGTTTTGTGGAAGAATTGCCAACTGCTGAAAGAAAAGACCAATCCCCTTCGCGCGGATTGAATCCCACAGCAGCTCTGAAGTAAACAGTCCCCCATGCCGAAAGCTTGAGCTTCGGTTGATTTGACAAAAAGCACAACGCGCAGTTGACTATGTTGAACCTATGCAGTTGTTGGATTTGTTAGATCCATGAAAAGGGCCCACAGCTGTTTGGCTTTTAGAAAGCTTATCAGCTGAGATGTTTAGCATTTGTGCGCACAGGGGCTTGCTTCCAATTTGAACGCCCCCAATGTGCATCACGTCCAGCGCTGCGGCAAATGTAAAGGTTGCACAGTGCCAGCACAGGCCCACGAGAAAAAGATCTCAACATGGGAACGGGGCGGAAAGTGGCTGCGTGTGTGTGAGAGTGTGTGTGTGTGTGTGTTGCGTTTTGCCAAAGCAAACACAAGCATAGCTGTCCAAAGGAATCAGAGCATTTTTTTCCCTTCTAGTGGGGGGGGGTTGTTTCATTCAGAAGCTCCATTTGAATCCCAGAGTTTGCCATGAGGGCATCCTGATCTTTTGGCATGTCGCCTGGTTGGTATCAAACAGAAAGAACAAGCTGGGAGCCGCCCCGAGTTGCTGGACTTGCTGCTTTCTGGGAAGACCATGGACCATTTCAGAGGGCAATCAACAAGTTTGGACTCCAATCCACTCACGAAGTGAGTTAAGGGGGTACTCTTTTCTATCGAGTCGGTCTTCTATTGGTGTGAGGGCGGTGTTGGTGTTTTCTTTGCCGCGATGATGCCAGATCCCTGCCATGTCCGACGCAAATCCAAGTCCACAAGATCCAATCACTGAATTCTTTGTTTCTTTCCCAAAACGAAATTAAAAGGGCATGGACAACTTGTTTTCTGATCCCGAACTTGACTCTGATCCAAGCGGCCCAACACTCTTGCAGGACCCAACCATTTGCGATCCTTCTGAGAAAATGACCATCCGGACAGTTGGGGGATCAAAGTGTCACTTTCAAGTTGGAGAAGTTGCTTTGACCAGAAAAGGACATAAACAATCGCAGTGTTCCTGTTGACCAGTATTGAATACATATGTTTTGCCTTCATCGTAAGGGGCTCAGAACTTCAGGGATGACCCGACGCGGATTCAACCCTTTCGACTCAGTGCCACAGTCCATGTGGGATGCCCCTCCACACTTGAGCAGTGCCCAAAATCGATTCCCATTGGCCATTTTAGTGGTCCTTTTTGTGCTTTTTTGTTTTCTGTAAGGCCCATACAATCCTTTATCACTATGTTGGTAGAACAAACGGTCTACAAGTGTTCGTCTCGGTTCACTTGTTGGAGGACACACTCGATGTCTCGTCTTTTCCAAAGGTCTTCTATTGATGCGCGTTTATGTGACCAATGTGGCCGTGCAATATCCGATTCAATACACAAAATGCAAGTCGTTTGTTTTAATCAGTGTGTGACAATTCTATATTTGTCCGGTATGGAACTCGTCTAAGCATTTGTTCTTTGAGCCATATCAAAAATCCAGGTGTGGCACGGTCCCAACCAGAAATAGCAGCAGCCACATGCAGCCACCCTTGTATCCACTTGCGTGTGTTTTGGCTCTCTCCCTTTATATCTGTGATTTTGGTTGTCTTTCTTCGATAGATAGAACTTCCTTTGGACTCGGTTTGGCTGACCTCATGTCGATCACTCCGTTTGGATAGATCTTTGTTTGCGACTTGGGTAGACGGTTTTTGGGAAGTTCCCGCTCTCACGAGTTACATTGGACAGTGGAGTCCTCAGGGGTCGACGGTTGATCTGTGCTTCGCCAGGCGCCCGCGTTCCCGCGGCTCTTGCGCTCGACGTCAAGCCGTGATCCCAACTTCGGCAGACGCAAATTCTCATGGGGAGAGACGCAAATTCCGCCATCGGCAGAGTTCCTTTGGAATCTTTTTGGTTTCAATGAGAACGGGTGTACCCTCCCTCCAATCATGGAAGCTGGCAGGGTCGTGGAACTTTCCTTTTGGGAAACCTCTTTGACAAACTTCCATGATTCGAAAGAGGGTATTTCAGGACAATAGACAATATGCTTTGATGGGACTGTGGCCAAAATTTGAAGACAAGCCGCTAGAAGATGCTGGCTGTTTTGGTGGAGAACAGTGAGTAATCTACCAGGATCGCTTGATCTCAGAATGATTGTCGTCACTTGATGGGTGCCGAGTTGCTGATATCATATTTCCATGCAACATCCCTTTCAATTACATTCTCAAAGCTTCATGTTGAAGTTCTGGCCATGTTGCTTGCTGAGGTGTCCCTCTTTTAAGTGTATCTACAGCAAGGGAGTTCAAAATACGCCGGCCACATTTGGGTGGTTTCCAAAACTTGAGCCAATCCCATCTTCCGCTTTCCTTTCAAAAGCCACGCCCCACGCATTGCATCCTCAAGACGAGCTCGCTGAGGCCAATCTTTGGAGACGAAGCCCCGATCGCTCACGCTCACGGTGCCCCAAGGCCACCATGGTGGGCAAAACGCGGGCCTTTTTCGACCAATGAGAAGATGCCGTCGTCTGAGTTTTGCGCCTGGCCAAACGAGTCTTGATGTATGGCCGTTGGTATGTTTGTGTTTTATGGTGTCATGTTTTTGCTGTCCGGGGTGCCGTTTTGTTTTTCCCCGCCCGACAGGAAGGGGTTGTTAGATTTTTATGTTGGAATCCGCGTTTGCGATGCTTCTACACCACGCCCCCACCCAGTATCCCGCCAGAGCGGCTCGCCAGTGGATCCCGCCGAGTATCCCGCTGAGTATCCCAGAGTAGCTCGCCCCGAGTATCCCGCTGAGTATCCCAGAGTAGCTCGCCAGTGGATCCCGCCGAGTATCCCGCCAGAGTAGCTTGTGAGTGGGTCCCGCCGAGTATCCCGCTCAGTATCCCAGAGTAGCTCCCCCCGAGTATCCCGCTGAGTATCCCAGAGTAGCTCGCCAGTGGATCCCGCCGAGTATCCCGCCAGAGTAGCTTGTGAGTGGGTCCCGCCGAGTATCCCGCTCAGTATCCCAGAGTAGCTCCCCCCGAGTATCCCGCTGAGTATCCCAGAGTAGCTCGCCAGTGGATCCCGCCGAGTATCCCGCCAGAGTAGCTTGTGAGTGGGTCCCGCCGAGTATCCCGCCCAGAGTAGCTCCCCCCGAGTATCCCGCTGGTATCCCAGAGTAGCTCGCCAGTGGATCCCGCCGAGTATCCCGCCAGAGTAGCCGAGTATCCCGCTGAGTATCCCAGAGTAGCTCGCCAGTGGATCCCGCCGAGTATCCCGCCAGAGTAGCTCGCCAGTGGGTCCCGCCGAGTATCCCGCTGAGTATCCCAGAGTAGAGTATCCCGCTGAGTATCCCGCCAGTGGATCCCGCGGAGTATCCCGCCAGAGTAGCCCGCCAGTGGATCCCGCCGAGTTTCCCGCTGAGTATCCCAGAGTAGCTCGCCAGTGTATCCCACCAGAGCAGCCCGCCAGTGGATCCCGCCGAATATCCCGCTGAGTGGTAGTCTTTGGTGTAGGCTTTGGGCGAAGCGAGTGGTGGTTCATGCGCCGGGGCAGCCTTTGTGGTGGCAACAAAGACCGGTGTCCAGCAATGGCCCTGGGCCACGTGTTTGTGCTCATGCTTGCCCTTTGTATTGGCAGCGTGCTGCGAGCATGCGGATGTAGCTCACGTCTTATGTGAAGACACAAAGTCCCTCGGTGATGGGCAGGCGCGCAGGATGCCTGCCAAAAGCAAACTTAACCAACAGGACACCGAAGGGCGTGATGCAAAGCGGCGTCTAGCCACAGAAGCAAGCCGAGGAGTGGCGGCCAAATCGGACGCAGCTGCGTACTGGCCAGCTGCAACACCGGCAGTAGATGCCGAGCGCATCTCTCCAACGGCTGAAGCTCATGCTGGTCAGAGAGGACCGACGGAGACGCAGTGCTTGGCAAGGTCGCTCCTCCACAAGGTGAACAGCTGCAATGTAATGACGCGGGCAGCGCGCTGAAAGCAGCGCGAGTAGTTCTGGTCCCGCCGGCGCACGCGAAGAGCAGCCACAGGTCGCGGCAAAAAGAAAGCAGGGCAAACCAGGCTCCTCCCAACCTTTGCAGAGATGACCGTGTATCCACAGGGAAAGGGCAAGTTTTTCTCGCGCCAGCGTCTGTGCCGCGCAAA